AGACTTGATGGCTGCTCTGTCAATTCTTCGTCATCAGTTAGGAACCTAGGTGTGCTATTTGATATCAATCTTTCCTTAGAAAGCCACGTTTTTAGCATTTGTAAAACTGCATTTTTCCATCTCAAAAATATATCTAAATTACGACCTATGCTCTCAATGTCAAATGCAGAAATGTTAATTCATGCGTTCATGACCTCAAGGTTAGATTATTGTAATGCTTTATTGGGTGGTTGTTCTGCACACTTAATAAACAAACTCCAGCTGGTCCAAAATGCAGCAGCTACAGTTCTTACTAGAACCAGGAAGTATGACCATATTAGCCTGGTTCTGTCAACTCTGCACTGGCTCCCTATTTTGAACATTGTATACATTTTAAAATCTTGCTAATTACCTAGAATATCAAAATCAACTGCCGCCGGCAGATCCTTTTCCTTCCTAGTGCCCAAACTCTGGAATAATCTACCTAGCGTTGTTCGGGAGGCAGACAGTTTAAATCTAGATTAAAGAAAAGCTTGGGAGAAACCAGGCTCAGTTGAGGGGCCAGTTCTCTGGCCAGACAAAACCAGCATGGTCTAGTTGACATGGTCTCTGCTGACATTCAGGACTGTAGAGGTCATCTCTTAAGTTCTGATCCACCATCTGGTATGGATATTATACTAATTCTTTAGGATCAAGTTTGTTTGTTTGTTTGTTTTTGTTTATTTATATAGCACAATACAGCAACAGTCATTGACCATTGTGCTGTACAAGAAATTATAAAATCAAATTAATAAAACACCAATCAAAACAATAAAACAACATAAAAGTCATATGGTACAGGAGGTAGTACATACAGAGGACAACAGAGACATGCTCAGGACGACTCAGATGTTAAAAGCCTTTTCTAAAAGGTGAGTTTTAAGTTTTACTTTAAACAGAGATTCTGAAGAGATTATCCTAATAGATAAAGGTACGCTATTCCACAGTTTGGGGCCGACTATGGCAAAAGCCCGGTCTCCCTTTCTTTTTAACCTTGATCTAGGAACCTTTAACAATTTCTGATTTGATGACCTTAAACATCTCGCAGATATGTTAACAGTCATGAGTTCAGATAAATAAGATGGTGCCAGACCGTTTAAGACCTTAAAAACAAAAAGTAAAATCTTAAACTCTACTCTAAAATGAACCGGCAACCAACGCAGAGAGAGTAAGACGGGGGTGATGTGCTCAAATTTACGAGTGCCAGTAAGGAGTCTAGCAGCTGCATTTTGGACTAATTGCAGGCGGTTCATATAGGAATGACCAATACCTATATAGATTGAATTGCAATAGTCCAGACGAGAAGATATAAATGCATGGATTACTTTCTCGAACTCGGCAAAGGTTAAAAAACTTTTAACTTTGGCCTGTAGTCTCAGCTGGAAAAAACACGATTTGATAACTGCATTTACCTGCTTATCAAATAGCAGCAAGGAAGATTAGAAATTGGCCTACAATTTGAGAGAACTGTCACATCGAGATTAGATTTTTTCAACAATGGTTTAACAATAGCATGCTTTAGATATTCTGGAACAAATCCAACAGAAAGACTCTTATTTATTATTTCTAAGATACAAGGCCCAATAACATCAAAAACCTGAATAAGTAGGCGTGCTGGAAAAATGTCAGTTTCAGATGTGGTTGGTTTTAACTTCATAACCAGTTTATGAAGATAGTCTATCGAGATAGTTTCAAAGGCATTAAAAGATGAGGTACAAGCCGAAAAAGAGGAAGGATCATAATTTATGGGGACAATAAGCTGTCTAATGTCATGTATCTTGTTTGTAAAATACCTTAAAAAGCATTCACAAGTCACAAGAAGGTCATCAAAGTGCAGATAATTTGACGGATTTATCACCAAGTTAATTGTAGAAAACAAAATACAAAATCTTTGATAATTTCTAGCTATGATGTCAGAGAAATACTTTGATTTGGCCTCCTTCACAGCTCTTTGATAGTTAGTTAATGAAGTACGTAGTATCTCCAACGACACATGTAACTTATCCTTTTTCCATTTACGCTCTGCACGTCGACATACTTGTCTAAGAGCCCGTGTATCAGTATTTAACCATGGCTCTGCCTTAGGTTTGAGTTGCTTACTCCGAAAAGGAGCAATAGAGTCTAAAATTTCTAAAATTCTAGAATTAAATAAAGTAAGCTGTTGTTCTGCATCTAAATGTTTTGAGGGATAATCAAGAGAATCAAGAGAATATGCCTCATCAAAAAGGGGAACAAAATCCTCACTAAAGGTAGAGCTAAACATACGTGACCAAATAATAGGCTTCTTAGTTTTAACAATCTGATCTAAAATAGAACATGTGAACATCACAGGATTATGATCGGAAAAACTTAAATCACCAATTTCAAGGTCATGAATATTGATATCATGTAACAAGACAAGGTCAAGAGTATGGCCCAGGGAGTGTGTAGGCCCTGTAACCATTTGAACAAAGTCAAAAGAGTGAATAAGATTTTTAAACTCTTTAGCAAGCGGATTTGTATCGCAGCATACATGAATATTAAAATCACCAACAATCAAGAGTCTATCAAATTTCGAAACAATTCCACCTAAAAAAATCAGCAAACTCATGTATAAAGTCTTTGTTTGTCTTTGGAGGACGGTATACAATAGCAATCGCTAAATTTTTGTCCCTTTTTAGATTAAATAACAGTACCTCAAAGCTGGAGAAAGTCTCAGATTTTATAGTCCGACAAGTGAAGCAACTTTTAAAAACACATGCTAAGCCGCCACCCTTTCCAGTTGATCTTGGGCAGTTTAAAAATGAACAGTTTGAAGGTACAATTTCAGAGAAGGGACTCACATCCTCAGTTGATAACCAAGTCTCAGTCACAAATACAAAATCCAGATCGTTTGTTGTAAAAAAGTCATGTAAAATGAATGTCTTATTCACCAACGATCTAGCATTTATCAGAGCCATCTTAACCTGCACTGACTCACCAATCGACTGAGCGGCACGATTTAAAGGTCGAAGATTCCTGTGATTTGTTCCTCCTCGACGAAAACGAACCAGGGACGACCAGGACCTCGGAGGAACTCGAAGAACCTTCGGAATCACAGGCCGAACATATTGCTGAGGAGACTCCAGTAATCGCCGCGAGACGAGGCGATCACCGACGAGCTCAAAATCCGGGAAAGC